GATTAGCAGGCGTCGCCAGACCTTCCGACCTTGGATCTGCCAAAATCATGGAAGAGACCTTTTTCAGTATCTCTTTTACGCGGACGAGGACGCGTACGACTCGACCGACCATAGAAATACCAAACGCTCGCGTTGGGCCGAAACGGTTTTTCCGAAGGGTCAGTCGGAGTTTTACGGCAAAGGACGCTCTGTATTCGAGGAAGACGATGACGAAGGGGAAACGGGAATCTGCTTCTCTGCTCGAGTAGAGTGCAAACCCATATCGTCGATCGAGAAGAGATCTTGCATTTCTCATGTTACCAACCTACTTGAAAGTCTCAACGTAGACCCCTTCTCGGAAACCGACACTGAGTCTGTTATGATTCGGGAAGCAAACCGTCGGTGGTTTGAGGCGTACTCTTCGGACCCAGAGCCAAAACGCAAAGTTCCTTCCAAATGCGTCCACTTTCCCGATTATTCTCCCGTGACCTCTGTCCATAACCTCATCACATACTCCTGTGCGAGTCGGTTGCAGCGGGCAGACCGTACGTGGGAAATCGATGCCATGCGGAGAGAAACTCCTCCCCCTGAACACAAAGCAAAAACACCTTTGTGTGACGAAATTATGGAGGATGGATTCACAGATGAAATATCCGGCGAGGCAGACATCCACGTATCTCTCCGACCGTTAGAACTATTTCCCCCAGTGTTTTCGGATGTCCCCCCTGTTTCCGAATCATCATGTACCACTCTGACTTTAAATGCAAGTCTCTCTTTCCCGAAAACAGAATCGAAATCTGGAATCGATTCGTCCACAGGCCTGCTCCCAGATGTCATTTCCTGTGAGTTGACCGTATCTGCAGCTTTTCCCAAGAGGCGTCGACGACGGAGGAAACATCGCAACAGAACGACAAACCCCAAACCCCCCGTTCCTCCCATATTGTCAGATTTGCCATGTATTAGTCTTGACTGGCCCTCTTGCTCGAATACGTTTTACTCGGAACAAATGCGTTCGCTGGACTCTATTTTATCTCATGAGATGTGCTCTTTCCCAATAACCGCCAGTTGTTGTTATGTTACCCCCAATCTGGCCAAATCCCAAAAATACTTCTGACTGTTTTTCTCTTGCTCTGAGACAATCCTCTCAAGCACAACGGTACGGCGTCTCTGAATTCAAAACTAGGCAAGCGCTATTTTGGTTGTATCGTCAGTCTTGTGGCTTGAGACTGAAACCCGGGATTTTGGAATTCCGTTCAGCTGTTGTAGCTTTAGACCGGCAAGATGAAGCTGGGAAGCATAATAGTCGCGATTTATACGCTGGCACAGCGGAATGCTTGCGCGGTAAACATACGTGTTTTTGGCTTCGATGGTAACACATGCAATGGTTATCTACCCTGAACCAGGTGCTAGTTCTCCCTTCTAGCGTATACACGCGTCTCCTGCAATTAGTTGGTAATTCTTGCACATCCGCTGCTGCTACCGAAGCCCGTATGCGGGGTTCCATCCTTGCCCGTCTCGGAAGTGTGTTTAGGCACTCGCCTGCCTGAAGCCGATCAGCAGTTCGATGCAGGCGTCTGGCTGCACCGATAGGATGTTGCTAAAGTTGGCGTTACTTGGCCTCCTCAGTTTGACTTTCCAGATGACTTGAAAGTCTTGTTTTTGTTTAATTTCTTCTTGATTTTACATTTTAAACCGTGAAATAAATTCTCGGTGGAAGACTTGCAAAGTCTAAAACCGCTTTGTCTGCTAATGCAGGACATTCGGAGTTGCTTTTTGTTGTAGTCGACGGTGCTGGGGCATTATTTGACAGCGACACACGCCACACTTTTCGTCACGTGTCCCAGACAAAGTATTAATGTGCAAGTTAAGTCTGAGTTGCTTCACAGGATAGAGGTAGATATGGTAGATAGCCGCTCACCGATTGGTTGCACAACTCACCCCTTCTGTTGCACCTTGGGGTTCGCTCTCAAGCTCCGCCGGGAGCCGCACAGCGTCTATAGGGAG